AAACATTGAAAACAACGAAGTGAGCACCAATTGCTCAATAAGTAAACCCGCTATGCTACTCTTCTCTCTCCGTTGCTTAAATTCTGAATTTCTTTCCTTACATCAAACCTCTCTATTCTTCTCTGTTCTTTCTCTATTATTTCTCTATTCTTTCTCTATTTCTAATTTCTCACTACCCGTGATAATAGGCATGGTATCATGCATAGGTATGATGCAAATGCACAAATGCATAAAATGTGATTTTCTTTTCTATTTTTCTTTTCTGTTTTCTGTTTCGTTTCTCTGTATTTCTTTCTTTCTTTCTTTCTTTTCTAGTCTTTCTTTCTTTCTATTCTTTCTTTCTTTCTATTGTTTCTTTCTTTGTTCTGTTCTGTTCTTTCTTTCTATTGTTTCTTTCTTTTCTTTCTATTCTTATTCTTTTCTTTCTATTCTTTTCTTTTCTTTTCTTTCTTATTCTTTTCTTTTCTTTTCTTTCTTATTCTTTGTCAATCGGACTCGGTTGAGGCATGGATTCGAAACCCTAGCCGTGTGAGTGAGTACAGTCCTCATCTACATGCACTCTTACGGATTGTACAAATTCTTCTTCTTCTTCTTCTTAGGCCGCTCACTAAAGGCGGCGTACATGTGGGAATATTCTTCTTCTTATCACTCACGGGTTCCCCATCGCAACAACCTTCTTTTCTTTTATCTTTCTTATGGAAGTTAGTATTCAATTTCTTTTCTTTAATAATTCTCATTTCTTTCTATTTGTTCTTTAACTTTAAAGTTCATTATTGCTCTTTAATGCTCTTATGAGTATGTATGCATGTATATGGGGCTCATGCTTATTATTCTTCCTAAATTCACATGTTTGGATGCAATAATGCAATATGGAATGTGAACATGTCATTCTCTATCATCTACCAACTCATCTTAAGATATCAAATAATCATAATCATGTATGCACTTTTCTTTGACATTTCATCAAACAATTTATATGCACACATTAACTCTAAATTGGCTACATTTCTACCTCTCTTCTAAGCCACCAAAATTTGGAATAAAACACACCAAGATTAACGTCAAACCTGTCCAGAATTCACACTCCATAATTTCTACTCCAATTCTTCCATAATTCATCCAAACTCTCATCAAACATCAAGTACACAAACACTACTTCTCATGGATAAATTCTAACCATCATTCAATATCCATTCCATCAACAATTCTTCATATATAAGCATATACATGCATAAAATAAATTCTCTACAATTCATCCAAACTCTCTTTCTCTTTGTTCTTTAATATTCTCATACATCTGTATGTGCATGGAAATATTCTTTGCTATTCTTTCTAAATGCAAATGTGAGAATGTGAGAATGCATTATGGCATATAAAGATATCATTATGAAACTAGTATTCTGTATCAACAACATTCCCACACTTGAAATCAATCATAGAATATTAGACTAAAAATAACTAATAAATTGGAGGTACTTTTGAGGTAGCCATTCTGCGCAAGTCATATTCAAGAAGGCATATCTCGAGCTATACACATTGGATTACTATGATCTTGGTCTCATTTTAAAGCTTAGAGAAAGGGCTACAACTTTTATGTTTAGGTCTCAACCCAGTTCGATGGGTAAGATGCTCAAAAATCACTCATAAGGTCACGGGTTTGACAGGGCAACCATGGTAACATGTTTTCTCTTAGGATTTTCATCAAACAATTCATATGCACACGCTACTACCATGTTGGCTACACTTCCACAACTCTCTAATTCAACCAAATTGTGAGCCAAAAACTCACTAAATTGAGTATTAAACCTGGCTGAATTTATCACTTCTCTACACTCCAAAAATCTCAACACAAAATCTTCTACAACTTCACCATATCATCACATAACCATACACTACTTCTCATGGCTAGAATCTATGCATCAATAAACATCAAAAACCACCAATAATTCTCTCATACCATCACATACAAACATGCAAAAAAATTCATTCAACAAAGTCTTGCTCAAATTAAGGTTCAAATTAGGTTTACTTACCTTAAATTTGAGCAACTCCAACACTATACTCTCTCTTTGGTATAATTCCCTCATTCTCAAACCCTAAGCATATACAACCATAAGAATTCAAAACTTTAAAATTTAATCTCACTTCTTGGTGCAAGAATCTTACCTTTGGATGCTTAGGATTGAAAATCTATCAAAAGTTAGCCAAAATCCTATGAATTTCCTTGGAAATTTAATGAAGAAATTTGAGAGAATTTGGGTAGAGAATGGCTTGAATGGAGGGTAGAGTGGCTAGGGTTTCTCTACTTCAACTCTTAATATCATAAAATAATATATATAGATTCCTATTTTACCCTTGCACTTTCTAAAAATTCCATCTACGTCCCTTAACCAATTACAAGAATGCCCTCATTTTTATCATCTTCTCCATGTTATTCTATTTCTTTTCACTCCCCACTTTTTCAACTAATTATGAGTGAAAATATCATTTTACCCCTAATGAAATTTTAGGGAATTTTCTTCACACTTGTTCAAGATAACCTTAATAAAATTCAACTATGGGTATTAGGGCATAAATAACCTTGATGTGGGCGTTGCAGCCACCTACCACATTTGGCTTATAGGGTATTCAATTCATTAACTTCTTGGGTTCAAACCACCTTGGCCACCTACCACATTGGGCTTACAGGGTATTCAATTCATTAACTTCTTGGGTTAAAAACACCTTGGGCCACCTACCGCATTGGGCTTATAGGGTTTTCAATTCATTAACTTCTTGGACTCAAATCACCTTGGGCCACCAACCACATTGGGCTTATAGGGTATTCAATTCATTAACTTCTTGGGTTCAAATCACCTTGGGCCACTTACCACATTAGGCTTATAGGGTATTCAATTCATTAACTTCTTAGATTCAAATCACCTTGGGCCACCTATTACATTGGGTTATTCAATTCATTAACCTCTTGGGTTCAAACCACTTTGGGCTACCTACCACATTGGGCTTATAGGGTATTAAATTCATTAACTTCATGGGTTCAAACGACCTTGGGCAACCTGCCACATTGGGCTTATAGGGTATTCAATTTATGAACTTTTTGGGTTTAAATCACCTTGGACCACCTACCAAATTAGGGTTATAAGGTATTCAATTAATTAACTTCTTGGGTTCAAATCACCTTGGGCCACCTACCACATTGGGCTTATGGGGTATTCAATTCATTAACTTCTTGTGTTCAAACCACCTTGGGCTAATAGGGTATTCAATTCATTAATTTCTTGGGTTCAAACCATCTTGGGCCACCTACCATACTAGGCTTATAGGGTATTCAATTCATTAACTGTTTGGGTTCAAACCACCTTGGGCCACCTACCACACTGGGTTTATAGGGTATTTAATTCATTAACTTCTTGGGTTCAAACCACCTTTGGGCCACCTACCACACCGGGCTTATAAGGTATTCAATTCATTAATTTCTTGGGTTCAAACCACCTTGGGCCACCTACCACACTGGGCCCATAGGGTATTCAATTTATTAACTTCTTGGGTTCAAACCACCTTGGGCCACCAACCACACTGGGCTTATAGGGTATTCAATTCATTAACTTCATGGGTTCAAATTACTTTGGGCCTCCTACCACATTGGGCTGTTGCTCAATGATATCCCTGTAATTTTTTTTGTTTTGTATTAGATATTGTTTATTAAGGAGCATTAGTTTTGTTGACCCTCTCAAAAGCACCATGGAGGGTTCACCAATGTACTAGTACTTGAAATAAAAGATATGTTGCTCACTTGGTGTATTACGAAGCAACCAGTATAATTGTAAATGGGCTCACAACCCAAGGAACAATCCAATTGGTTGGCCAATCTGTGGCAATTTTTGATGCTGCAAATTAGCCTGCTAGAGGAGACTCGGCCTCAATAAGACAATGTTGTCGGAGTGAACAAGGTAATGGCCTTTTATTAAACCTTTTATTTTTTATTTTTCTGGACTTTGTGTAAGACATATTGATTAGTGGGCTAAATGCTGAATATAAATATGAACACAAGCAGCCAAGCTGCAATGTAAAGTGTATATTGTGGGCTAGAAGAATTTTGCACTGGTTTCGAGTTCTTATCTATCACTGAAAATTGGGCTTTCCCATGGAGCGCGGTGTTGTAAGGATACATTGGAATTCCAAAGTATTTTTTAGCTAAATGACTAAAGGTATAGAATAGTCAAGTACGTTTGAAAAAAAAATATTCATTTTTATTGGATGACTTGCAATATCGTGTCATTAAATAACCAACAGAAAAACACTTGCTCTTAATAAATAACCCAACTTGATGCTCCTGGTTGGATTATCAAAAATAGTATAATCGCGGATGAATAGTCTTTAATTATTATTTTTTAACCGTGGTGTTTATGTCAATTTATATGTATCTCAACTAATCCTCGAGGTCCATTGAACTCTCAAAGGATCAGATAAATCATAATGTGATAAGTGACCCCAGGTTCGAACCCAACAACTCAATAAATAGAGTAAACCTCTCTGACCATCCGGCAACCCCTTGGGATTATCTTTCATTATTCTTTTAACAATACAAGCCCTCCACAGCATAGGTATTACAATCACAATTGTCTATTAGTCCAATTATATCATACTACTTATAATGTTAGGGTTTCAATAAGGGCACATCTCTTTGGGTGAGTTTATTCTAAGGTCATTTTACGTTTTAGAGCAGAACCATATATATCACACAAATCGCAGCTATAAACTATTTGTGTTGCAAAACCAAAATGATGAAAATTAACAATTTGTTCTGATAAGAAATAAGCACATTATTTTAAGGCACAGGCAACACCACTGGCTGACAAAATACAGAAATAAAAGAAGGCAGGGTGAGGGTCAAGAAGCAAAGAGATTGATGCACCAGTAATTCAGAGAGTACTCCAAATGGAAAGTGTAAACAAAGAAAACAAAGACTCTTATTTAAGTCTTTCCTTTTTATGATACAGATGAAAATACAAGAGCAAGGCTGAAAACAACATCAGTGCCTAAGATGAGAAAACATATGAAAACCTCTGTTTAAGAGAAAACATAATCCCAAAACTAGTGTGTGGTCAAGTTTTCAGGTTTTTGACAGCATTAATAATTAAAAGCTATGTATGACGAGTGTACAAACTGTCAGACCCAAAATTGAATGTTTAAAGATTTTCTAAGCCATAAGATAAAGGATTAACCTACCTGTGCTGAACCAAGATCGAATATGTTTCCTGCAAATATTCCTCTAACCAGATTCTCTAGGCGCTTCCCTCCATCTTCAATAGCATCGTTAAGACGAACTACATCCCCAAATAAGGATATAGCTTTTGCATTCTCTTCATCCTATCTGTCACAAAAAGGATCAGCCTTTGTGTGGAAACAAATAAAAATAGAATTCTCACCAATATTTAAAATCCCCTGTCCTTCCATTATCTCTCATTTCTTCTCTTCTATGACTGCTAAGATTGCCAGTCAGTCAATTGAAAAGATCAGAAGAGTATTGTTTATAGCTCTTACACATAATTTTCCCAACCTTCACCACTGATTTTTTCCCCCAGTTTTCATACCCAGAAATCCTCTGACTTCTCTTACAAGTTCACCAAGTCGTAAACTAAGAACAAACACCAGACAAAATCTACATTTTCAAATAGGCAATTAGGCAAAAGGGTTCTCAGTCCAACTGTTCTACCAAGCGATTATTTTCAGCCATCGCAATCAGTTTCTTTTACAATGTTATTTATTTCACTGGCGTATACATTCTGCAGGTTTGGCATGTAAAAGAAAGTACGAAACTTTAAAACTTACCTTCACTTTTTTGAATATGTCTCTGAATCCCAATTCTCTAAGGATTTGTTCACGAATTCGGCAAAGAAGCTAAGATATGCCCCACCCCCCAACCCCCAAAAAAAAAGACAAAACAGTGGTAAAAATTTTAGGTCCTCCAAAGTACACCGCTTAGCTAAATCATTTTGAAGATGGTAAAAAAACTTCCCAAAGCTTGACTTACAACGCAATCAGGTGGGCCACCGTGACTCTCTGGTTCTTTCTTGAAGTCCTCAAGTATCTCAGCATACCTTAATGCAATCAATATTTCAGACAACACATGGAATGCTATAATTACTAATTGCAACTCACAGAATGAATGACATAGATGAACTAATTACCATAAGTTCCATGTACATAATGCTTACGTAGATGAAGCCTCTAAAACGTAAAGAACAATTTTTAAAACTGGAAACTTATACAAACAGAGCATCTAATTTCCCAGACCGAAGGATGAAATGGATGCACGGAAAAGACAGATCAGGAAAAAACCAAAACAAATACCTTTCAGCAAATTTTTGAGCTCTAACAGGAGCATCAGTGACAGTAGGATCAGTCTCAGCTCGTTGCCTGAAAGAGATTACAAAGAATTAACAAAATACTTAGAATTACACCCAACTAATATATATATATATATAAAGAAACAGAATTGAAGGAAAAGTTTTACTTGAAAGAGGGGATGGAATTGAGAAAGAGGTCGACCCAAGCAATCTCAGAAGGAGTGGCTTTTCTGGGATTGTCAGAGGGGAATCTGTAGGGAATGGTGCATGCCCTGTAGTTGGATTCGATCGGAGTTTGAAGTAATGGGAAAGGGACCAGCTTTGAAGCGCTCTCCATGTTGGGTTTTGTTTGGTTTATTTGAAGCAATGAAATGATGCGAAAGAAGAAGAAAATAGAAAAAGGTACCTATATCTTCTATTCCAAGTTGAGGGGCAAGACGATGTACCCTCCCTTCTTGGGCATGCATATGCAAATGGAATATGCTTTATATATATTGTGCGGTAAGCTTATTTCACATAAAACTTTCTTGAAAAAAATGTTTTAAATATAATTTAAACTAAAAAGAAATATATGAAAAAAAAAATCAACTAATTTGATTATTATGTGGGTATAATAGGATTTGTTTTGATATGGGATTTTCTACTACTTTAATTATTATGAGGATATAATAGTATTTTTTAACTAATTTAATTATTAACGACCAACCCTAGGTGGTTGAGTGGTCAAATTATTATTTAGGCCTACAAATGAGCTGAGCCGAGCCGGACACCTTCAAGTTCGAGATCGATTCGTGAAAATTTGATAGAGTTCGAGTTCGAGTTTGAATTCAAATTCGTCAACCCTAGGAAAACCCTATTCAAATTCGAGTTCGGTTAATTGATGGGTGTTGGAGTTCAGTTCGTTTGTTATCTGAGCCATGTTCGAGCTCGAGCCTAGGCTCGAGTTCGAGCTCAAGCCTAGGCTCGAATTCGAGTTCAAGGAGGAGCTCGAATTTGTGCTTGCATCAGAGTTCGAATTCGAGCTCGAATAATTACTCGAATTCGTGTTCCATCTCAACAAATTTTCATAAGCTCCATATTTATATATATACGAGCAATGTTACAGTCACCGGAAATAATGCACCGAATTTGTGCACCGAATGACGTGACAAAATCTTGATCGTCCCTCTCTCTCTCTCTCTTTATCCCTTCTTTTAAGGGCAGGATTTATCTTTGTATGTCTCTTTGTAAGGCTAGTATTTCTCTCTCCCTCTCTCTCTCTCTCTCTATATATATATATATATATAAAGTCCCTATAAAATTCATCAAAAACTCCCTCTAGATTTTGTGAAAAACTTTCTGAATAGATACAATCAATAAAATTTAATATTCAATTAATAATATTATATCCAACCAACAAAAAGTAAGTTAAGGGAAAGTCTTTTGTTTTCTTTTTTTGTTTTTTTTTTTTTTAAAATCAATGTTAAGAAAATTTGATATTTCCATTGTTAAAATAATCTTATATAAGCTAGCACATAGATCAGCAATGTAAGAACAATTAGATCTTTAGCTCTGTTATTATTTGAGTTGTTCGAATTTGATTTACATTTTAATAAATTAAACCCATTTATGCTACACGTTTATGGAATCCTATATATAAAAAAAAAGAATGTGTGACCTGAATATCTCACATTTTTATTGTGCACTCAACAATTAAGATGAAGCAAGATGTGATTGAATTGAGCTCCGAGTCTTGACTGATGTTGAAAAATTAGCAGATGAGTTGTGCTTACGGGTGAAATACCACTCAATAATTAAGATGAAGCAAGATCAAGAACAATGAATCTCTTTGTGAATTATGATAAATAAATCTATTTTACAAGTTCGTTATTATGGGTAAGAATGATTATATACATATACTTAAGAAATGAGTGTTGAAAATATATGTGCAATTGTACATCATTTATTTATTTATTTATTTTCTCCTTAATGTACATAACATAGCTAAAACTAATAAGTACTATTATTATAATTTGCTGTATTCATAAATATATAATGGACTAATGGAAATTTTCAAACAAATCAATGGTATTTTTTAGTATTATTTAAAATGAGGGAAAAAATTTTAAAATAAGGATCAAAGTTTTTGAAATAATCTTGGATGGGCAATTAATATATATAAATATATAATTAATATACACAATCAATATATATTTCACTGTTCGCTAGCCCCAGAGCTCGAAAGCTCATTAAGGCTTCACGAATTTTAAATTGTTCGCGAACTTCAGAGCTTGAAAGCTCGTTCAATGTCCTGCGAATTTTCACCTGTTCACGAGCCTACGAGCTTGACAGCTCATTAACTATTCATGAATTTTTAATTGTTTGCGAGCTTTCAAGCCGATTACTATCATGTTTGATACTTGGTTCGTACATTACTTGAATTGTTTGAGTTTGAGTTCTATTCGACAGATTTCGAGCCGAATACAAACTTCAGCTGAGTCGAGCTCGAACAATTTGCGAACAGCTCAGTTCGGCTGTAGGCCTAATCGAATATGGACTTTTAGAGATAGTCATGATCCTTAACTTCAAGGTCTCAGATGATTAGTTGAGAGCTAGCGTAGACATCCCTGTTTACAAAAAAAAAAAAAAAAAAAAAAAAAAAATAATTATTTACATACATGCAAAACAGTTTTCATAGAGGAATTCTATATATATAGATGGATTAAAAAAAAAAAAAAACCAATGCATAAGCAGAGCATAACTGCATAAACAACATTACAAAAGTTATCTCATAACTAAGAACATGGTGGGGGATTTGGGCGCCAATGTAATTAGCTTCAACATTTTTACAAGAGGAAGTGGGTAGTTTCTCCCCTGATAGACATTGACATTGACAGCTCCAAATGAACATTTTCTAGGTTTATTCTGGCATTGCATTCTTTTGCTACATTCCAATGCGACTGCTACTGTAGAAGATGAGGTTCCCCTTATGTTCTTGAAGTATATATCACTTAGCTTCACCCTCGATGGTTCCTGCATTTAATTATTAATCAGACTTATCAATAATCACCTCTTTTCGACAACCCCGATTACATATTTTTCTGAAATGTAAACACCAACTTACTTTTGCAGGGCAAGAAGTGAATGGACAATATGCCTGATCAATTATAATAGGATTGGTCACATCGTTCATCACAATATTTTCGAATGTCATGTTGGTGGCTACACTGCCGCCTGGTGAGTTAGCCCATGTCTTAATCCTAATGTCGTTCAAGGTCTTTGTCAAGATGCTATCTCTAACGACAAGTTCCCTTACATCTCCTTCATTCCGATATCTTCCCAGACTTCCGACACTACATCTGCAAATATATGTTCAATAATAAAGAGTTTGATAACTAATAATTGGAGGTAATGCCATTAGAGAATGCAGATTTACCTGATGCCATGACCAGGTCCACAAGTAATGCTACTGATAGTGACTTGGGAATTTCCTTGTCCAACAGAAGTGCAATCGTCCCTAGTATCAATATGTGATCTTGAAAAATAGACACCAGAGCTTCTCTCAATGTGGATTCCATCAGTGTTTGGACTATTTGCAGGTGCTGAAACTTTAATTTTACTGCCTTTGAAATTCTTGCACTCAACTAGCGCAATGTGGAAGTACTTGCTATTCAGTGAAGTTATGTCTCGGACAACAGTCCTATTCATTGCCACAAATTTCACATTCTGAAAGAAGAACAAAGTTTCACATGAGCTTTTACTCGTCTGGCTACTTTTTTGCTTTTGGTGAAGCATCACCAAGCAAGCCGTACATATCCTGGGGCCAAAATCACCTATCCCAAAGCCACTTGATTTGCCCACATATATTATCTTCAGAATAACAAACCAATATGGCCTACAGATATTGACAATTTGGAAAGCAGTGAACTAAAGTAACTGAAAGTTTAACGGTAATATATTATTGAAAATACAGTTGGAAGAAGTTTGCAATTGAAGTTGGTAGGGCACCTATTGTAAGGCCATGCTTTAGCACCCTGTCCATCGAAGGTTCCTCCTATAGTCAATGTTAGTCCCTCCACCCATCCAGCACCAAATCTATACTTGGATAAATCCGTTGTTGCCTTCACATAACCTTGAAAATTCATTCCCAGACATCATCAAAAGAGGGTTTGCTAAAAAATAGTTGGATTATACACGACAGGAAAACGAAAGTTATTCCACCTCTTGATGAAAATTAGAACCTGACCTTCAAATAAATGGCTATATTTGATACATTTTTACAGGGGCCTGCAAACTTCAAGGGGCCAATCAGGTATGTCCCTCCAGGAATCAAAAGTTTTACAGCACCTGTTGTCTCACATGCTTCCTTCCAGGCTTCTTTGAAAGCGTAGATCACAAACACTATAGTAGTCAGTTAAATTGTGAGGGCCAAATTTTCGCTAATTTCCTAGGGGAGTATTCAGTCCTTGCTTCTCAATTTTCTATGATTACCCTCTTGTATCAATTAGCAAAATAAAATAGTTTTGTTGCACAAACTTAGAAGCTCAAGCTCAAGATTACATACCAATGTTGAGGCTAATTTTGAGCAAGTTACGCAAAATTTCAGGCTCATGAATACGATTCAGGGAGTAAAAAGCATAGGGAAAATACCCATCTACAAGTAAGGCAGACATCTACCCCTTTCATAAACTATACTAGCCAAAAGTTCAATTCGAAAATTAAATAAATTTAATTCGAAAATTAAATAAATTTATGAGCTATAGCTCCTTGAATCATTTTTTCAGGAGAGGGTAGAGAGAACAAACTTTGTCGTCTTCAGTTTGGCCATCAACTTTAGCACCAAAGTTCTTGAGATAAAATATAAAAGAGTTCATTCTGTTGTGATATACAATTCCTTATGCACCAGAACTAGGAGCTGGTGTTGCCCTTCTTCCTCTGATAATAGCCCCATTGAAACAAATGACTGAGAACACCAAAAGCAATTATACATTCTGCTAAATTATACATTCTGCTAAATTTATAACATAATCTCACAATTTTTTCTTACAACCCTAATGTATTAGCAGATTGACACTGTCATTTTAGCTCCCACCACACCAAGGAACCCAAGGCAGTACGAGAAACAAACAGTTTTTCCTTCAGAAGGAACAATCGTCCCTTATGAAGGAATGCCCGTTCCTTCAAAAGGAATAATGTTCCTTAAGGAAAAACCTTGTTCCTGAAGGAACAATCGTGGTTGTTCGTTAAATTGTTTCTTTCCTCCTCCTCCTTATTCTTCTTCTTTTTCAAATTCTTCCTCTTCCTCCTCCTCTTCGTTATCTTGTTTCTCTAGACGAAGGCGAAGAGGAACAACCACGATGTGGCATCTCATCATTAGTTAGCTTGCAAATGGGCATGACCCATTTTGTGAGCTTACTAACGACGAGCTGT